CGGGTTCTTAATAGGGAGCTCGGACTCCCAATAGGGAGCTCGGACTCTTGGTAGGGAGCTCGGGCTCCTATTAGAGCGGTCTGGTGGAGTTCGGGCTCAGTAGTGAGCTTGGACCGTTACTTTCGGTGCTCGTTTTGGGCGCTCTGCTGTCCCGAGTTGCTTGCTTTTGCCACGTGTCGGATGATTGCGAGGTCGGGCCAAATTCCCCTTCATTAATTGTAATTCTATGATTACATATATTTATGTTTATGATGGACATGCAATGATGAATTCGTATGTGATGACCATAGAGACTATTTTATGTTTGAATGGACATGTTATAATTAATAATTACATTTGGATGACGTACAATAGTTTGTATATAATGATTGTAGGGATTTTTTTTTTATGTTTGGATGGATACACAACAACGGATTTATATGTGATGGTTTGATGGACTCTTTTATGGTCAGAAATTTGTATTTGTGGCTTGGCTGTGTGTTTTATTTGGGTAGACTTTGCTTTGCTTGATATATATATTTTGGATAAACTATTAAATAATTCTAGCATAAAAAAAGTGATATAATTAATAATGCATGGCATGAGGCTAAGTGTACGTAGCATTAGAAATAGAAGCTTAGGAATAGTTGTTTCATAGCATGATAATTGGTGACCAAAAGAGCATTGGCCTGTTATTATAGTCCCAACAACCAAATTTATGGAAAGCCTTGTATCAACAGTAGTTGTTGAGAAATTAATTATGTGGTTTAATGTCCTGGGGCATGTTTAGTATCATTGCTAATTTCTCAAGCAATATTTATAGCTTAGAAATCATAAAAGTGACTAGTTGCTTTTTATACATTATTTAAGTCAGCTTAAGTGCTAGGCGTCACGTAGACTAATAAATAAATATTGTTGGTACTATTATATTATAAGAAGCTTCATTTTGAGTTTTCTTTTTGCAATGATAAATTTTACAGTATTTAAACTTCTTTTGAAACACTTGAACCAAATAGGAAAAATAAATGGTGAATCACCACACATATCTTATGGATGCAAATGTATCAGATTAGATTCGAAGCAGGGTATATCTTAATTCCATTTTGAATTTCTTTTTTGAATCCATAGGGTGATTTGAATACGATATAATTTTGAAATGGATCCTATTTTTGCGATCCAATCGACAAAATCAGATATATGGCACTAATGTGGTGCACTTATAAAAAGTAAAAACCTACGTATACCATTGAGACGAAACAAAATGTTTTAAATACAAGGCACTCCCACCTATATTAAGCCATTATAAGGGCACTTGTTATGTTAACTGTGCAAGTAACGATAAAAGGGTAAAGATATAAGTATTAAGCTTATATTATATGATATGATACTATTATAAGAGCATCAGCTTCTATATTTTTCATGCATTATAAAGCACGGAAAAAATCCTAGAGTATTAGGGGTGCAGGTAGACCGGACCATGATTCAATCTGAATTTGAATTCGATCTTATTTTATCGGGTTTGGATATTCTCTATTAGATTTTCGGATCAGATAATACGATCTGATGAAAAATTTGGTAGAATTCAGATCACTCATTAATATATATATATATATATATATATATATGATGAAAATAGTTGAAAAAGATGTTTGTATTTTTTTTCTGTTTTTTTATATGGACTATTATATTTTTTCCTTTTAATAATTTAATAAATTTTACAAAAATTAAATTGGATTAATTCAGATTTGAATATGACACATCCTTAATATATTATGGATATGCACATAAACAGTGCTTTTTGCAAGGCGTTTTGCCTCCCTAGGATCCTCTGGAGAAGCTGAGCTTATGGCATTTTACAGAGGTTTATGTAGAAGGTCAAGGGTGGACCCATATTCTCGTAATCTCATTTGTTCTGACTCACTTCCCATCATTCAAGCATTACAGCTTACATCCTCTCTTCCTTAGCAATGCTTGCACTTATTTTGTACCGTTAATAACTTAATGCTTATTTGGCAAGTCTTTTCTAAAATATCTGTTACAAGATCTAATGGTTAAAAGAAAATATGAGTTTTTGCAAATAGATCTTGGAAGACCAAAAACTGTTTGGTTGAAATATTTTACATAGATCTCACAAAAGACCATAAAAGCTAGAAGACCGTTCGGTAATGTGAATGTCTTATGTGTGGGCCAACATTTCATTTAACACGTGGGACCCACATACATTTTCTAAGGTGGGACCCCACATACCATTGGTGGACATATATGTGGGGTCCATGTACATTTTACAAGGTGGGCCCGACATACCATTGGTGGCCATGCATGTGGGGTCCATGTACATTTTACAAGGTGGGCCCCACATGCCGTTGGTGGACATGCATGTGGGTCCATGTCTAGACATGTATGTGGGGCCCACATACATTTTACAAGGTGCCCCCACATACCATCGGTGGACATGCATGTAGGGTCCATGTGTGGACATGTATGTGGGGCCCACATACATTTTATAAGGTGGGCCCCACATACAATTGGTAGACATGCATGTATGGTCCATGTGTGG